GGAGTTTGTAGGGAACTTTAGTAAACTAGAGCGACCAGTCAGGAACAAAGGAAAAACCAATCACTGAGACTCATGAGCAGCGGGACGGATGCGTAGAACATTTTGAATAACGCTTAAATAGGCCCACCCCACCGAACTGACCGCACTTCGGACCAGTACACAAACCTCCTTATTGGTTATGCCACATCAACAATCGAAGAAATCAACAAGGTCATGAGAAAAATAGGGTGGCGATGCACTAAGACAAGACAGCATTCCACATGAATTATTAAGGTCAGATACAGAGGTCACTGCAAAGATGTTCCACCTTCTTTCCAGAAAGATGTCAGATGAAGTACAAGTACCAACAGACTGGAATGTGAAATAATCATCAAGATATCGAAGAGAGGTCTTAATAGACATGAGAACTACAGAGGCATCAACACTACTGTCAGTACCAGATGAAGTTTTCAGCAGTGTTGCTGAACTGAATGAATGGTTCAGCAGACATCCAACTTCGAGATCAACATTCTGACTTTCGTATGGATCGACCACTTACCGACCAAATTATAACAGTGCGGATTTTTGTCGAACAATCAATTTTATAGAACTCATTACCACACATCAAATTTCTTGACTATGAGGAAACATCCGACATTTTGTGCAGAGAAACGTGGAATATTTTTCTGCTCCAAGGATTATTGGTAGCTCGCTCTCCTTTTTCGTCTTTCTTTTGGTTGTTGATTGAACTATTAGGACCTACACACCTTAGAAGCATAGAATACAGTAAAAACATTGGATGGAGCTGTACGATTTGAACTTTGAATATGACTTGATCCTTCTGCAACAATTGCAGACAAAGATAGCGGCCTTCTCAGCAATCGGTCTAACCATTCAAAAGGCGCAAAACAGAATCCTGAATTAAAACAGCAAGTATCAACCAAATCATACTTGATAATAAAGTTTTAAATGTGGTGGAAGCCTTTTCATATCTGGGTTATGTTATTGATAAACAAGGAGAATCGTATGCAGATGTCAAGGGAACTATTTGGTAAAACATGGGCAAAATTTCTACTTACTTACTTACTTACTTACGCCTGTTACTCCCAATGGAGCATAGGCCGCTGACCAGCATTCTCCAACCCACTCTGTCCTGGGCCTTCTTTTCTAGTTCCATCCAATTCTTGTTCATTTTTCTCATGTCTATCTCCATTTCTCGGCGTAATGTGTTCTTTGGTCTTCCTCTTCTCCTTTGGCCTTGAGGATTCCATGTGAGGGCTTGTCTTGTGACGCAGTTGGGTGCTTTCCTCAATGTGTGTCCTATCCACTTCCAGCGCTTCTTCCTGATTTCCTCCTCCACTGAGATCTGGTTTGTTCTTTCCCACAGTACGTTGTTGCTAATAGTGTCTGGCCAACGGATCCGAAGTATTTTGCGTAGACAACTGTTAATAAACACCTGTATTTTCTGCATGATGGCTTTCGTAGTTCCCCAGGTTTCTGCCCCATACAGTAGAACTGTCCTGACATTTGTATTGAAAATCCTGACCTTGGTATTGGTTGACAGTTGCTTTGAGTTCCAGATGTTCTTCAGTTGTAAATATGCTGCTCTTGCTTTGCCGATCCGCGCCTTCACATCTGCATCAGATCCACCCTGTTCATCAATGATGCTGCCCAAATATGTAAAGGTTTTAACATCTTCCAAATCTTCTCCGTCAATTGTGATTGGATTGGTGCATGCTGTCTTGTATCGGAGAATCCTGCTTTTCCCTTTGTGTATGTTGAGACCTACTGCTGCTGAGGCTGCTGCCACACTGTTTGTCTTCTCCTGCATCTGCTGTTGCGTTTGGGATAGAAGGGCCAGATCGTCTGCGAAGTCTAGATCATCCAACTGCATCTTAGATGTCCATTGTATCCCGCGCTTCCCTTCAGACGTTGACGTCTTCATGATCCAGTCGATCACCAGGAGAAAGAGAAAGGGTGAGAGTAAGCAACCTTGCCTAACACCGGTCTTCACTTCGAATGACTTTGTCAACTGTCCTCCATGCACAATTTTGCAGTTTAATCCATCATATGAGTTCTGTCTGATATTGACTATTTTCTGAGGCACGCCGTAGTGTCGAAGAAGTTTCCATAGTGTTGTTCTGTCCACGCTGTCAAATGCCTTTTCGTAGTCAATGAAGTTGATGTAGAGTGATGAATTCCATTCAATTGATTGTTCCACAATTATCCGTAGAGTTGCGATTTGGTCTGTACACGATCTATCCTTACGGAATCCTGCCTGTTGGTCTCGAAGTTGGGCGTCTACGCAGTCCTTCATCCTGTTTAACAATACCCTGTTGAAGACTTTTCCCGGTATTGAGAGAAGAGTGATGCCCCTGTAGTTATCACACTTGCTGAGATCGCCTTTCTTCGGTATTTTGATCAGTAGTCCTTCTTTCCAGTCTGTTGGTACTTGTTCCTCATCCCAAATCTTATTGAAGAGAATGTGGAGTATCCGTGCAGTTGCCGCTACGTCTGCTTTTAGTGCCTCAGCTGGGATGTTGTCCGGTCCTGCTGCTTTGCCACTCTTGATTTGTCTGATGGCCATGCTGATTTCTTCAATTGTTGGTGGGCCAACATTGATTGGGAGGTCCGTGGGTGCTGCTTCGATGTTGGGTGGGTTCAGTGGAGCTGGTCGATTCAAGAGTTCTTTGAAGTGTTCTACCCACCTGTTTTGTTGCTCTTCAATGTTGGTGATTACCTTGCCTGCGTTGCTTTTCACTGGTCGTTCTGGTTTGTGGCGATTTTCAGAGAGTTTCTTTGTCGTGTCATACAATTGTCTCATGTTTCCTTCTCTTGCAGCCTTTTCCGCCGTCGTTGCTAAATCTTCCACATATTTACGTTTGTCGGTTCTGATGCTCCTCTTCACTTGTTTGTTTATTTCCGTGTATTCAGCTTGTGCCTTGGCTTTTTCTGCTCTTGTTCGACAGGTATTGATCGCTGCCTTCTTGTTCCTCCTTTCTTGAATCTTATCCAGTGTACCAACAGTGATCCATTCCTTGTGATTGTGCTTCTTGTGACCCAGGACCTCATGACATGTTGAAGTGATTGCCTCTTTGATCCCCTTCCAGTTGCTCTCCACAGTAGTTCCTTCTCCATTGAGTAGATCATGAAAGGCCTAGAACTTGTTGCTGAGGACTATCTTGAATTTGTTGAGTTTGTTAGTATCCTGGAGAAAGGCCGTATTGAACTTTTGTGATACTGTCTGCCCCGTTGTCCAGTGCTTCTTGAGTTTCAATTTCATCTTGGCGACCAGTAAGTGATGATCTGATGCTATATCAGCTCCTCTCTTGGTTCTCACGTCCTCTATAGTCCTCCTGAACGTTTTGTTGATGCAAATATGGTCGATTTGGTTTTGTGTAGAGTGATCCGGTGAAGTCCATGTGGTTTTGTGTATGCGTTTATGTGGGAATACGGTGCCGCCTATGACCAGCTTATTGAAGGCACATAGATTTGCAAATCTCTCACCATTTTCGTTTCTTTCTCCTAGTCCGTGTCGTCCCATGATGTCTTCATATCCAGTGTTGTCCGTTCCAACCTTGGCGTTGAAATCTCCCATCAGAATGGTCAGGTCCTTTGTTGGGCACTTCTCGACGATTGACTGCAGCCTATTGTAGAATTGATCTTTAGCGTCTTCATTATAGTCGTTGGTAGGCGCATAGCATTGGATGATGTTCATTGAAATGCCCTCTTTCTTTGTTTTGAAGGAGGCTTTGATGATCCTTGGTCCATGAGATTCCCATCCTATAAGCACATTTTGCGCTTGTTTGGACAGCATCAATGCAACTCCTTGTGTATGTGGTGCATTTTCTTCTTCATGGCCGGAGTATAACAGGAGCTCTCCTGTAGTTAGTCGTTGTTGTCCAACTTGTGTCCAATGTGTTTCACTGATCCCAAGTACCTCTAGGTTGTATCTTCTCATTTCTGCAGCAATCTGGAAGGCTCTTCCGGTGTCCCACATTGTACGAACATTCCATGTACCTAAATAAATGGTTGCTCTGGTTGTCAGAAGGGGCATCGGCCTCGTAACTTCCGAAGGAATTCGGCTTTCATCATGAGGCGTCATAATTCTTCTAAGTGAAGACCTTCTGACTCCCAGGGCAGAGTTTAAAAGGTTTGAATAATTTTTTCTGGTTAGCGTTTTTTTAGCGAGTTAGTTTTCTACGGGATGGGGACGCTAACCCCATGCCCAACCCTCCTCCTTTATCCGGGCTTGGGACCGGCAGTAGCCCCCGGAGGGACTCCAGGCGGAGTTGCAAAATTTCTACAGTTTAAGAATAACTAACATTCCAAAAAAACTGTCACCCAAAATCACTGTCAGAATTTCCAACACCGCCGTTAAAACAGTCTTATTCTTTGGAGCTGAAACTTAGAAAACTACCATCGCCAAGAAGGTAAAGGTATTTATAAACATGTGTTTACGTAAAATACTCCACATCCATTGATAAGAGACCAGATGCCTACTTAGGAAAAAATAAAAAAAGACGCTGCAAGTGGATAGTACATTATGCGAAAACCATCAAACTACATCACAAAATAATTCGTTACTTGAAATCCTCAAAGATAAATTATAAGAGGCAGATTAGAGAACACATGGTGCCAAAAATCGGAGTCAGATATCAAGAGAGTGAGTTGCACCTGGGAGCACCGAAAAGGGGAGCTCAAGACAGAGTTAGTTAGGCATTTCTGGTCAACAGTCTATGCTCCTAACTAGCAACCGGGTTATTAAATAAATTAATAGGGATTTTCATGGTATATTATCTTTCCATTATCAGAACTTATATACAGTGTTAATCTATAGTTCATAGGGGAAGGGCCACAGATTTTCTCAATATTTATGTCAGCTATTATTCATAATCTCTCGTTACATACATATTAGTTGCCTCCACATTGCGTTCCCATTGGTTCTATCTTTGTAAATGTACATCTTTCTCAGTGAAATTGTTTGTTGTTTCGTTATTTTTCGTGTATATACATTTTAGGCTTTCTCTAATCTAACTAAGGCTACATGTCGTTCCCTATGCTCAGTCATGGTGCTAGCTATTGTTCATGAAGCTGGTCAAATCGTATTGCATGATAATGAAGTATTGGACACTTGGTCTGTTGTGCTGAATGGGACTGTCGAGGTTAGTTAATAATTTCTCATATTCTTTTGTATTATGTTGTGCGAGCACACACGTATATGGTTTTTGTATATACCGTTCGATACGATAGTTACCACAATATTTCTAGGCTTAACACATGAAACAAAAAAATATCAACCAAAAAATTATCATCAGAAATTGTCAACCCTTTGCCCAAAACTGCGTATCCTGAGTAATCCTGATTGCTTTGTAATAACAAACAATTACATTTAATTGTTGTGTTTTCATTATTTATAGCTTATTATTACCAGTTCAAAGATTTCCACACCTACTGCAGTTTAGGCAGCCGGACACCATTAGTTCTCACAAAATGGAGGTGTGGTTCAAACCTGAGTACACGACTCTTGTACTTTTTTACTGAGTTACACAAAAATGAGTGAATTCGCCAATTTTTGGAAAAACACTACCGATACTGACCATTTATCTATCTATCTATCTGTATAATTTCTTTCAGTATTAACAATTTGTTTATTTGGGTCGTTTCACATTGTGTTTACCAATAAAAGTTAAAATCACAATGTATTTTCTTGTCTGTGTTTAACGTTGCCCATTCTCTTGTTAACTATTCATTGTCTCCTGTTTTGAAAATTGTTTTCCTCAGGTTATTGGACCAGACGATACAATTCGGGAATTAACTCGTGGTGATGCATTCGGTATTCGTCTTGGTAAAACAGATTGTATTCATCATGGTGTAATGCGTACAGTCACTGAAGACTGTCACTTTTTATGTGTGCCACAAACCGATTATGTAAATATTATGAGTCGTGAAGGAGAAGCTGAAATACCAGAGATGGGTGAAGGTGGACGTGTTGTCCTTGTCTATGAATCAATAAATTTAGACACAACTCTTAACATCGATTCGAATAAATCATCCAATGACAATAGTTCTGTGTTGTTGAAAAAATGTCGACTGGTCACAAAGGTTTGTTTTGAAGATTTTTGTTTAAAAAGGTCAATGAATTCAGAAAAATCGTTAACGTTACTTTTTAACTTGAATCTATGGTTACACTTTAAATTAATTAACTAGTGAACAATGATCTGAAAACGATTAGGGTATTGGGCAGCTCTTTTACCTTAGTTTAACTCCTTAAAAGTCTGCATCCATAACCATACATAGATGTGGATAGCTACACGAAATTTAATTCTGAAATAATGGATTGATTCTTTACTCAACCGTCCATATGTATTATGTTAGCTGGGAGACATAAATGTCATAAAATCAACTCTTTATCAGGCCATGAGTTCACGCTACTCCGTAGTAGAAAATGTGAATAAAACAGTTCTGCAACACTTCGCAGTTGTCTATAAATCTTTACATGTTATCATTCTGTTGGTGGCAGACTTCAGCTTTCTGTATTTACTAACCTACATGAAATCAGAAATTCTGTAGATTGTTATGTCATATTACTTCTAAAGTTTTTGTTATAAGACTTCGAAATCTGTTTCGTAGATGTAAGTAATGATAAAACTTTTCTTATTCAGTTAGGGAAATAATTCCTTATCCTTTAGTTGTATTGTTCAATTACCATGTGTATCTATAGAAGTATGTATGTCTGGGATATGATATGATCGTTTATATTACGTCGGAGCTTGTGTTGGACCAGTTGTATTGATGTTTAGTAATCAGTTTGCATGAAAAGAACACTGTTAACCAAAACCAGTCATCCCAAAAATTCTCCATCTTCACTGTATCACTATGGAAAACTTGCTGAGTTAATGTCTGTTTTTTCATGATGTGTTTGATCAACCACAATTTGGTACCAAACTGATCCAAGCATCCCACATTTAAATTTATTGTAGTGTTGGGGTGATAAACATTTTTAGTTATCAACCGTCAACTCACTTTAAAGATTATTGTTACATATTAACGTGAGTAGGTCTAACAAACATTCGTCTTAACTGTTCACTATTGATGACGACGCTGGTGTCAGTTTGAAACCATGTACTTGCTGATGATTTCCTGTGTACAAAGAGTATACTTATCAGACATTGTTTATGCTATTCTTGAAGAGGTATGTTAGTACGTTATTACTTTTTCAGAATGTCGTAAAAATGTTTATCACATTTTTTAAAGGATATGTTCATAATATCCTTTCAGTTATGAAGGAGCTCTCGTTAAATAATCACGTATACTCTCCACGAAATTACTTGTTTAATGTAAATACTTGAATACATCCAACTTGTAATGAGTCATGTTGGTTGTAAATCAGTATTTTTTAACTTTAGTTAAGTCACTATCTTTCACAAAATATGCACTGTCATTAGTAAACTATTTTAATTGTAAATTCGCATACATAAAAACATCAATTATTCAATCTCTTCTGATATTGTTTTCGAACCAATATTTCATTGCTTTTTTTGTTCAAATCATTTTAGGGCACACCAGAGAAACTAATTGAACATTTGATTGCTGATCTGTCCAATGGGGATATATCGTATCCAGAGGATTTTCTACTTACATATCGTACATTTTTAGATTCACCCCGACCAATAGTTGATCGTTTATTATCATGGCATTTGCATAATCCAAAGTTACGTACACGTGTTAATCGTATAATTTTATTATGGGTTCATAATCATTTTAATGATTTTGAGGATAATCATGATATGATGAAGTGCATTGAAAAATTTGATAATATGTTATCATCCGACGGCACGGGTAAGCGAGTGTATACGTCTATGTGGATGATCATTTGTTTTATATTCAGTCAATAGAACATTGTTCAGATAATCTTACCGGATAGTTTTATTACTAGTATGTAGTATCTTTAACCTAGCGATTTTAAGCATCAATTGATTTCACGGGTTTGATTTCCACTCTGATATCACATAACACACCACCTACTTCCTCATGACCAACAGGATATCACCGGCTGTCACACAAATATTAAGGTCGACTACGCAAACCTTTAGTTGATAGATGAATTATATCAATTATCATTCTTGTTATCTTTCCATGTTAATGTTTCTGACAATTATTTGATTAGTCAAATGTCTAGTCGTTTCAAACCATTCATTTAGATCGTTATACTGATGATAAATCTTAATATCGTGTTCTGAACTTTGACCTCAATTTTTTCTGGGACTATCAGGAACACTACTCAGAGTCGGGTATAATGTTGGGAGTATTTGATTATGTAAACTATTAGATGGATGTTGTTGGTGGTGGTGGTCTTAAGGTTTATATGAACTTTACATCTACTGCCGTACAACATAGCTCATCTCCAGTTATCACTTACTTAGTTCAAATTAACTAGACTATCGATTCAATTCGTATGATGTTGAGGGTATCTATCAATTCATCTGGCGTACTACAAACTAGTGGATATAAAGAACATCATAACCTTGATTTTTCAACGGACAACTTTTAGTGCGTTGTTCATAAATCTATCTCAATAAACTGTTGGTTTTGTGGTTTTCGTTTCTTATTTACACTCATTTAATAAGTACATGGTTGTGTACTGGTCTTTGAGTCACATTACTTCTGGGTGAATTCAAGTGATATGTCCTTTTTCCTAACACTAACGTTGGTGTCGCGAAGTTCCAACTATGGGATATACAGACTGATAATGTTGATTTGTAATTTTACTGGTCAGGATATTATGTTGTTTTGATTCGGACCAATGAACTATCACCTTTGAATCAGACCATTCACATTAGAAAAAGGTTAAACTTCCAAACTATGTATTTAGTACATTTTTAGTGGCCCGTGGATCCGACTACATTTAGATCGTACGAATGTTCGTTATCACCTATTCCCGTATACATTTATCGACTTAAATCACGTTAGTCAATAACGGAATTTAGATAAGTCAATTAACGAGAATGGCATTTGAATACATATATTTTGTATGTAAAGTGAATGCGATAGAACAAAGCGAAATGACGCGCAGTGGAGATGGCTGGTGAGCCAACTCATTTTTAGCCAGGCGTTGCGCAATATTTATAGGCAGACAAAATGAACTACAGACATGTGATGAGACATGGGATATGAAGTGTACACACATATACGGTCATATAAAAACAGTCAAGACTGATAAGCGAATAATTGACAAGGTCAAAATATGACTCAAGTAGAATGAGTAGATTGGTTTGTCCATAAACTATAATAAGGTATATTATGGGCTTAAAATAATGACTGACACTACACATTTACCCATCATTTTTTATAGTATTGAAGTATCAAACTATTTTGATGAATCATTAATGATTAAATAAATTCTTCACCTTTAATTATCTACATAATGTGCGTTGAGATACCCGACTAATGTTCATATTAGAGAAGAGAATTCACGTAATTCATGTAAATTTGCATGGTGATCCATTACTTGTATGCAGAACTATTTTGATATACATCTTTACCATACGTAATGTGCATGAAATACTTAAAACAGAATAAAATCATTACAAAAATAAACCAGTAGTCGTCTTGATGTACACAGATTAGATCTGATTGCTGTTTAGCAATGTAATCACTTTTGTTAAACAATTAAATTCTAAATCAATTCGTTTCAACTTTAGTGATTGGATATAGAGATTATGAGAGAGAAGAGGTATGTGATCAAGACAGCATCATTTCATGTTATTGAATATTGGTCTCATTCACATAGGATGTTTCGGACTTATAGGTTGAAATGTATGAGCTTAGGAACTTTAAATAATGTGGTTAAAAATACGTTGCAGTAATACAGATCTGTCCATTCTTTATTTCATTGCAAGTGTTAGACTTAATACTTTTATTTGTTCACATTTGCTTTCCTATTGACTTCGTCTTGTTGTGCTAATATGAACTGTGTCAACCTGAGCTGTTATATATCTTTGCTTAATTTTGTACGATTCATATTTGTTAGAGAAAATATACATCACATTGAAGTATGATAATGTTGAGATATTCAGAAAAATATCCTAAAAATTATCCTGTTAAGCTTAATGCTATCCTTGAACGTGAAATGGTGTCATTTTCCTGTTGGCCAAATATTGTACAAATGTTATTTTTTCTATTTTGTGGTACGATGTGGTCTGTCTGGTTGATTTATAAACTGAGTATGTTTGAAATAAATGATTCATATCGCAAAGGCTGGGACTTGTGTTCTGGACTTGACTGGCTGGGCTAGGCGGAAAGCAGGGCCAGTCAGAATTCTAGGCTGCTCATACGGGTTTGCGCTCCATTGATCCGATCGATAAGTCACTGCTCTTTAATCGGCGGTCACAAGATATAACAGATAATTATATGAAATTAGCGATCAGAATTACAGTAATCATTGTCACATCGAATAAGTTATGTAGGTTTTTTGTAAAATACTATCATGTATCACTTCGTGTTGGTTTAGATTTGCATAGATAACTTTTGGGTAGATAACACTAGCTTATAAGAAAACATCAGTTTCACTTGTTAGTTTTTTTATAACAATTTCGAATGAACATTTTTTTTCGTCCCCATCTCCCAATAATTTTCATTCTGTTTCGTCCAATCAAAAATAGTTAGTTTTAAGTTCGTTATAGTTGGTCGTTTATTCCTTAAAATCGATATAAAATATGAGGACTTGACGACAGAGCACATTTTCTTACAATTATGGACGGTAGTAACGTGCAAAGCGCGAGCTCCGTCGTTTCTCACGTTGTCACAGGAACCGACAACCTATTTTTGAGCACATTCTATCTCGTAGTGTTCCAATCTCTTGAAGCGTTGAAGAGCGCCATTTAAACTTATGAAAAAGCTACGTAATGCCATTATGTTGTGAGAGATTCTCATTTCCATAGAGATCGGAAGCCGTATATTAGATTCGTATGTTGGAGAAATCGCCATAGAACGGTTAGCGGTTCCTCACAGCCGAGTAGACGAGAGAGGTAATTTGATTAGTGCTATTATAATTTATCATAAAGGACTTCCGTTGAACACTCGATGTCCTTCCTTCATCTTTTGTAAGTTTATTGAAGGTTACGAGTGCAATTCCTTAAGCTACTAAACTACTTCTTGAATGCGCAGGTTAACAGAGGTGGAGTTTGAAACAGTACGACCACTTTTGATATCTGGGACAGCAGCATTCAATATTATGCACTTTGTTTACCAATCTTATAGAAAGCGTATTAATGTTCAATATATTTTTGATATGCGCCACTAACTTTTCTCACAAGGTTGTAGGATTTCGAAAAAGACATTAACTGAAAAATCGTGCGAAAAATGATAAAATTTCGGGAAGTAGAATACCGTCGTATTCATATTGCAGTTGAATGTCTACTTCTTATTTCCAGAAAAAATTTCCTTCGTTTTTATTATCCTTACAGCTGGTGAGCGTCGTCTATTTCGTTTAGCCTGCAGCACCAAAGCTCGTCCACGTCAAGTCGAACTTATAATTCCGTTAAAAAATTCATGTCACCCAAATCCAGATAATAAATCGTTCGGAGTTGATGATGGTACTGGGTTTTTGTCATCAAATGGACAACACTTGGACAATAATTGTAATACAATAAATTCTCTCATTGATCTACCATTCACAATGATTGGTGGCGAGGATGGTTTTGGAGTGTTTATACATCAAGTGAGTGATTTGGGTTTCATCTGTTCTTATGAAGTTTTCTGTTACGCATTTACCAATGGATCATTTGATTACCTATTTAATTGTAAAGTTATATATATACAGAGAGAGAGAGAGAGAGTAAATCGTTTAAACGTCCTACAAACTTAGTCAATCATAGCAAAATGTTGGACTGGGTACTTATTTGTATAGATCAGAATTGTTGTTTCAGTTCGCAACATTATAAGAAATACATGTTATAGAGTGTAAGTTTAGGACAAAATCGACGAACCGAAGGTATGAAAAAGAAATGAAACTCAACTTGACATCTGAAAGTTACTTGATCACATTTCTGGTTAACTTAATAATAAAACAGGTGTAATATTCATCTTCAAAATTTCTTCGAGTCCCTTATAATTCCTTTAGGAATTCCCTATCATCAGGGCAAAATACGGAAAATACTTCGACAATCAACTCTCTTTGTAAAACTGTAAGAATATATCATACGTTCGACCATACTTTTCCAACTCCCAAAATTTCTGCTAATCTTTATATTCTTTTCCTTAGGTTTTTAGAATCTCAAGTTCGCCCATGATCCTGTGGGAAACTTCAGTTAGTTATGGAGATAAAAAAGGTATTAGGAGGTGTAGGAAGGATTTGAATGTGACCAACTTGGTCTCGTGTGCTGTTACGGGTATGAGGGCTGATATCACTTCCCGGCTACTCACACCGTGGAAGGATATTTACTGAGGAACCTGAAAAGGAAATTGGATTAATGTTGGCCTTAACGACCTGGAAGCGTGACCGCAGAGCCCAAGGGACAACTGCTCGAGGTCGGTCGTGCACGACCTTTACATGGGAGGTTTTTAATGTGTTAGCTCCGTTTTTCAAAGGGTCTTACCGCCGGAGTCTTAACCTTCGAAGTAATCCTATACTCTTCGCCTTTCGCTTTGTTCTTTTTGGTATTTAAGACTGAAAAATTTCTGGTGACTAGGATAAAGCGCAATAGCATAAGCTTTAATACGGTAGCAACTAAATAGTCCAAAGCTGTACATTGATATTTAGATTTTCACCTTCACTGTTCTCTCAGTTCATTAGTGAACATTGGATTTCAGACTAAATACAAATTGCATTTTGACAAGTTTTTTTCTGTTGTGCGCATCGTGATTGTGCTTGATGGAGAGATTTTCTTGCTTACTGAAAGTTATTTGGTCTGTATTTATTTGTTAGGGTATAATCTTATTGTGTACATCTTTCATCCAATGTACAGATAGGAAAAATAATAGTGTTTTTCATGTCTATTGTTAAATGACAGCATCTGTGTCTTCTAAGTAAATGCATCAGTACATCCTCAAACTATTTCTCAATATGTGTTACCCACCGTTTATTTTAAGCAATATATAATCAACACTTCTGTACGTTTTTATCGTTAAATATTTTTACCGTTTATTTTCTGATTGCGCACTCAAGGTATATAGTTTAGTCTCAAACAATAATTCTAAAGCAAGCTGTGATGAGCACACAAACCAAAAATATCCCACTAATCCATCTTCATTATTGTTATCATCACCATGTGACTCAAGCTATCCACCATCATCAACAACATGTGTACTTCCTAATTTTTCATTTGTACATAATCAAATACGTCGGGCTGACCAATTATTATCAGTGAATGGTCGTTCAGTAGAACATTTAAAACCATCTGATGTCATACAATTAATTAATTCAATGATAAGCGCATGTTGTCCAGTGGATATTAAGACTAGATCAAATACCAAACTAGTATCTGGTACCAGTGGATCATTGTCTCCTTCGACTACACATTATTCAACCGGTATAGACAATGATACTATGCTAGATCATTCCAAATCATCTACATTATCGTCAGTCATCAGTGTTACTTTCAACCTCCGTTTGTTAGTTATTTTTAATCCAGTTCGTAAGTAAAATCACCTGTTACAGTTCAATTTTCCATGCATTACTTTTCAATAAATGCGTAAACTAGAAACCAAGTAAATCTTTGCCTTTCTGTTGAATTGTTGTAGATGTATGGCAATAGGTTTTTTTCATCTCATCGACTTTCGAATTCCTTTTTCTGGTGTATAGACTAGTGACAATATTCAATCTTCCTAATCGAAGAAGATATGGCTGGCTACGAACCTACGTCTCAACGGTTTAAAGTCGGAAGCTCTGACCATTAAGCCACAGTCGTCGCTAATCACTTGATGGATAATGAACTGATATAAGCTTCCATGCTACAAAATTTTAAACACCTCCTATTTACGGAGACGCGCGTTGACATTTAACATGAGAATAAGTTAGATATCCATTGCGAGACAGACAGACAAAGATGTGATACTTGTTGTTGTGGTTGTATATCACTTTATGTCTTTTAAACCATACTGCTTCATGTTTGCTCAACTTATAGTTCTTAACAGCTAACGTATTTGAGAATATTTTCTTTCTCCGATGAAATGCAAAGTTCTGTTCCAAATACAAAATTCAGTATATTGTCGTTGGTTGACTCACTTCATGCTGGTATGCTAATATTTAGAAGTGTGTGCGAATTAATAATCGAAATTCATAAAATTGTCGACCTGTCTGACGGCTTTCAATAACCAGGTTATTGATCTTTTGTGCTTGAAATAATGTTTGGTAGCTCATTATCGTCAGATTTTTCGGCTTCTAGCAAACGTAATTAGAAATTCAGACTTTCAGACACAAACTACAAATTTGCTAGTTTGTAAAGTCTTCATTTGATAATATGGCGAAACACTTAGTTTATAAACATTTAATATGGCTTTGATTTCCAAACTGTTCCAAAATATATCTGCGTTAAAGTACTGTTAAGTAAAAAATTAACTGAGTATTTTTCCTGATATTTTTAAAACGTTCTCAGTAGCAAACACATTTGTGTATGTTAATAAATGTAAAGTTATATACTCATGTTTCCCAATATTATGGTTATTTTCCTATACGTTTATTTAAATTATGGGTTTAATATCTTTCCTAAACTCGAAAAATTGCTGTTAAATTTGAACAAAAATTCATATCAAATAAAAAATTAATCTGTGAAATGTTCCCATTCATTTTATGAATAGCTGGATAAATTTAAGATTCCATATTAATATTTTCATACGTCACAAAATTTTGTTAAGCTAGTAACAGAATTTGTTGTTGTCGGATTCGTCGAAGTCGTAGCAGTCATACTGAGTATTGTCGTGAAACGTAGTTCTTATCAGTGGATTTTGATTTTCTATACGTTGTATCCGATAATATGTTACTCCACATTTTTAATCGCTAGATATTTCATCCGAGTTCTGTTGGAAAAGTCATCACTTGACATTCCAGCTACGGGAGGTCACCAAATTCAAAACATAGTGAAACAAATCTCTTCAGCAAAATGCCTAACAATCAAAATGTTATTATTAAGTATGATTTGATGGTCTACTAAAATGGTTTTTATGTCACTGTTTATGTATGTGTTTGTGTGTGTGTGGGTAAATCACAATAATTAGTTCAATCTGTCGACTTATTTGAAATTCACATTTCGCATATGTATCAAAAACTGGTCATAATTTGTAAGGAACACATTTGATGTAGGACTTAATTATATGTTTTTCCTATTATGTATACTTTTTTTCCAACAGAGTATTATCAAGCTATTAACTCTTTAAATACGACACATACTGCTCAAACTTCGATGAGGCCGATCAGTGAAACAATAAATGCTTATCAAATTGTTGACGATGTAAAAAACCACGTGAACAAATCTACACCATCATCAAACATCACATTGAATAATCACAATGGTAATAATGAAATTTGTCGACTAAAAATGCATAGTTTGTAAGTTGTGAATTTATTTATTGTATATGGTATTTTCTCCATTTACTTTTTGCTTCTTGTTACTAGTAGTTCTCTCTGAATTGTTGGCTTGGATCTATTGTATATATTAACTGTATTATGTGACAGTGGTTTCTTTCCCAAATAATTCCATTGCTACTTTTAACCACAAGCAAAATTTGTTTTATTTTGTAGACAATAAAGCAAACTTCATATTAGATTTGTAGTTCTTTAAGTTCATCTTACATATTCAAATTTAAGGATAACTTTTATTACAATGTAACTATGAGATGAAAAATTATTGGAAACCAAGAAGTTCTACATGTCTGATTTGCAATTTCGACTTTATCATCAAGTGACTGAAGTTAAAAATGTGGCTGAACCATTAAGTTTCAACCCAAATTTTTGAAGTCAACACTTGTTACGAGACCTGAAGTTCATGTATTTTGAATCCCTATCAGAAGACTCACTTATTGACTTAAAATCTACAGGTATCAAACACGGTTGCCTACTTTGCCTTTTCGCTTTCTGCTGGTTGTAGACTCAATTATTGAGACCTTTACAACTCAGAAGCACAGAATACAGTGAACAACTTGAGTGGAGCTGGACAACTTGGACTTTGAAGATGACTTGACCCTCCTATCCCATCGACAGCAACAAATACAGGTGAAGATATTCAGTATGACAGTAACTTCCACAACAGTAGGCTTCAACATTCACAAGGGAAAAGCAAGATCCTGTAATACAACACAGCGAGCACCAATCAAATCAGATTTTGTGGTAAGGCTCTGGAAGAAGCAGAAGCGTTTACGTGCCTGAACAGCATATTCGATGAATATGGAGTATCTGATGCAGACATGAGGGTATGAATTACCAAAACAGGTGAACGTTCCTATAATTGAATATCTGTCACACAACACCAAAGTCATAATTTCAACAACAACAACGTCTAAACAGTTCTACTGTGCGGAGTTGGATTGTGGAGAACTACTACCATCATTGCCAAAAAGGTGCAGGTGACTATGCAAAATACTACAGATCCATTGGACAGAAACCGTTAGCAATAATCGACTGTGATAGAGAACAATTCGGATGTCTACTGAGAGGGAAATCAGGAAACAGTGTTGGAGGTGGGTAGGATACACATTGAGGAAGCCATCAAACTGCATCAAAGGGCAAGGCTCAATATGGAATCCTCGAAGGAAAAGGAAAAGAAGCATACTAGAGGACATTTGCAGGTAGATATCAAGAGAGTGAATCGCGCTTAGGGACAACCTGAAAGAGGAGCCTGAAAAAGAGTTGCTCCGAGGTTCTTAGTCGGAGGCCTATAAGCTCACAACAGTAACAGGCATGAGTAAGTAAGTTATAATACACGGACGTCGAGAGGAAGGGTATTATATGCTCAGTATGGTTTGGCGACGTGTCCCTCTATTACTTCCTTTGTTCATGTGTGCATAGATCTTGTGATTTATGAACCGTATCCTTTGTTTTCTGTTGTCATCTCTCCGTTGTACTTATAGTTAGTATGTGTGTTTTTATCATTGTGAATGGCTGATGCAATGTTTAATTTTTCCATTTCTTATGAAACTTTTGACTTATGTTCTACACCTGGAAAATAGATTATTTGAAACAGAAAGAGTTGAATCATCTGATCTTCTGTGGATTGAGTGTGAATATGTCTCGTCCTTGTGTTTGTTTTAAATGTTTAGTTTGGTGCTTATTATTAAATTAATCCTTTCAGTGATGTTACACGATTTGATAAATTTACTAGAAGTTGGAAGTTGTTAATATTACATGTACCACTTTTTCACAGTACACACTTTGTGAAATACCATTGCAATCCTGTAAGTTTACCACAGTAAATAGGCATTGAAATACACGGAAAAACCATATAAATACAACTTTATTTGAATTGCGAAGGATGTTTAATGTTAATTATCGAATACGACGTTTCACTGATTTTGACCTTGGTATGCTAGATTCAACACTTAATCGACTAATGTAATGTAAAGATAAGGTCGAATAAATCATATTATTTGCCTAATTTCACAAGAGTCATGTATTTACTAATTTTGAAATGGATTACTGAATGCTCTAATGGTGGAAAGTAACCGTGGACTATGAAATCAATTATTTATAGAGAGTAAAGTAGTTACATCCGTGATGACATGGTATGATGGTCGAGAAATATCATAAATTGATTGGAAGTGAAAATAATAGTCACTGGGGTTTGTGTGGACATTATTTTTGGTGATTTATTATGACAAAATTTCTAAGTGTCATAAATAAGAAAAATGAGGGATTTCAACTCAATGACATAGCTTTCAATTTAATGGAACATATCGAAACAGATAAATGAGAATACGTACATACACACACAAACACCATCGGTCTAATGGTGACGATAGCTGTTCAATGTGTCCATACAACAGTTTTACATTTTATTGATAAGTTGGAATTATCTTTAAATCGTGGAAATGTTTGTAAAAAACATCGATGAGAAGGAGTACCCGTTAATCTGTTAGTGAAGAGGACAAAGAGAGGTCCCTATTATTGAACTTAATAGAACATCACTTGTCGCAGCAAACCAGTTTGACAAAACGGAGGAGACGCTAGTAGTTTTTGGTAATCTCTGAGTAAGGTAGTCGTGTAAGCAATTTCAGAAAGAAATCATGGATACATACAGGTCTTAATTTGTAGTGTTTCCCACTTAATCCTCTCTCTTTACGATCGACATATCTCTCTACGTACTAATTCTTTCTTCCTGTACTATATCCTTATATGCAATCTTTCTTTTATATATTACCATAATTGAATTAATTACTTCTATGAATCCGGTGTTCATCTTGTTGTGCTAATGCGGTATGGCAACTTGGACCGATGCATATATTTGCCTGGTCCTACGTTATAGCTGACTGGCTGATTTCGAGCACACAATTGGTGAATTAGTGAACAATAGGATCTCTAGTGTTGTTAGAGGTAGGATAGGGACAAACGAAGACATGGGATCAGTTCATGAAGACGTTGACTATTGAACTGAGCCATGTGGGTAGGTACAGACTACTTGATTAGCGTCCGCGTGATTATTGTAACCGATGATTAGAGACTTTGGATGACATGGATCAAAATGGTTTGTGATGGAGCAGACACATTCACTCTTCGTCTTCTCTTAAATTGTAACTTTCTAAATTACCATATGAATTTTTTATCCCACTAGTCCATATTCTTTTCCCAAATCCTATCTAAAATGCTAAATCTTTTCAACCGCCGTCAATGCTGTTACTATATGTACTACTTTGGGATTTATCTTGACAATTTCGTCTCGCTGTGCTAATAGGGTGTAGCAACTTGGATCGATGTACACGTGTCAGGTTCGACATTACTTATGATTGACTGGTCGGTGAATTCGTCAACTTAGAAATTTGTTTACACAAACAATAAAACTCAGTGTCCACAAACAAAACACTATAAGAATGACAGTTAGAAGAATATTAAGCAATGAAGTCAACACCGCGGACACTTGAAATGACATGCAATCCAATTAATAAAAATTATTATTCCAACGACTACCTCGAACATATATGGGTACAAGTGATGTGTACAGATCATAGTTAGTAGGGGTAAGGGACAAACAAAAGAAAAATACTTTATGACCACTGTTTCGCTCAGCAAACTTATCTCGACTTCTGCAGCATAATAATCAAACCGAAATTATCAAAGAATATATTATATTTAGCAATCAAATCTATTCTGTGCTTATACAATCATATTGAGATGTCTTTAGCGTGTAGGATAACACGAGTTAGTTATGTAGTACTCAATTTTCTTCACGATCAAATTAAACCTATATTTTACACTTATTTGTTGAAATTGTTGGACCTTCCTCGATATTTTATCACATTGCTGTTCAGAGGTGATTCAAATTGCCTTTTATTGAAACAAAGACTTAAATCAGTCATCAGTAAAACGTATTGCACAGTAAAGCTCATTATCAAAGAAAGAACAAGGTGCATGCTTCATCCAAAACCTAAAAGACATGAAAACGATTGTATCACATACCACTGTGTTTACCAATTTAAACGTGTGTGTGGTCACACATCGTGATCTCAACATCAGGGTGAGTGAACATGTATCCAAATGGCTGCAGAAACAAATACAATCAGGTGACCCAATAAGGATAAACATCCATCATCCTATATTGCTATACATATAATTGAAACAGGTCATAAGATTTATCTAAACTCGGCTTTTGTGGTGTTGTATAAAGGTGTAAAAAGGCGCATACTAAGATTTATTGAAGCCTTAACCATACGAAAATTCAAATCCCCTTTGTGTGTTCAAAAGCAGTTTGTTCTTATCTTAAACCTACCCTGGTAATATTGACGTATTATCCAGAGTGATTAGGTTTTGAGTTGTGTTCACATTATTATTATTATTATTATTATTATTATTATTATTATTATTATTATTATTATTATTATTATTATTATCTCCTCTTACCCCGTTTCAAGTCTACTTGACCTTTTATTTTTATATATAAATACTGTTAACAAGTATATGTGTGATAAGATTGTTCGAAATGTATTGCGCTAATATATCACATAGTTCTGATAATCTTCGTCTTCTTATTTGTTTTATCTCATTTAATGGTTATTAAGTCAGTTGCGTTAACGGGTCCTTCCTGAATTATTATTGTTATTATTATTATTATTAATGGCTTTATTCAATATTATATTTTGGTACAATATATAATTCTCAGCACAGGGTATTTCAACAAGTTACTTACGCAACAACAACAAAAACAGTAACAAATACAAAAAAATAAATAAGTTTTTTTTAAAAAGCGCCGAATAACTGTACAACTTTTAAAATTAAGGACATGTTAAGAATGCAGGTTATTGACTAGGCTAACTCTAACAACCTGTTCGTCACAGAGTATATTTTCTAGATAAGGTATTATAGAACTTTTATACTTTTGCTTGTGTGCATGGATTTTAATGTAATTACGTCTCGTTTTACCAGAAGATATACAAGGAGAAAGATAAGACTGAGGGGGATGGCTAGTATCTGATAAAATAACACCTGCGAGGAGTTTGCATGATTTTAAATTTCTATCCACAACCATATTAATTATGACCTCGAAAGATTCACCACACATCTTGCTAACTGCCTTCATCACTCTCCGCAATACAGCAAGGTCTTTTCTCAAAAGCCCGGGAAAGAATAATGGAGAACAGTAAAGTATAATAGGTAATATGCAAGAATTGACAAATTGTAAGAGTAAATGACGAGTAATCGCAAGAGCATGCAATCTCTATGTAGTAGGTCAGGCGGAAAACCTTCTTCGATAACAATAAAACGTGGGAAGACCAAGACAGATCAGAGGAAAAGGTGACACCAAGATAATTGACCTTCGACATTGTGTTTATCAAAGAGTCTCGGATGGTACAAACATTATGGAATCTCAAAATGGTGTTTAGATTCCGTTCATGTCTCATGCTAAAGTTAACAGCTTGGTATTTAGACGGATTAGGTGTGAGACCATTACCAATAGACCAATAATCAATACGAGACAAAAACTCATTCATTTCTATGGGATGTAAAGAGGAAGAGATAGGCATACATACAGAAGGATCATCCGCATATTTCACAAAAGTGTTTTCTGTGGAAGATGGCAGATCATGCAGAAAAAAAGAGGAAAGAAGAGATGACAGAGCAGCTCCTTGTGGTACACGTTCATGAGACAGTAGAGACTCTGAACACTTTTCTCCAAACACAATGTACTGTTCCCTTCCAGAGAGGTAGCAACATAGCCAGTTGGTTATCCAGCTGTCAGTGTTGACGCTGATCAACTTGTTAAGTAAACGTTGTCTTGGTATAGAATCAAAAGTTGAAGTATAGTCCAGAAAAGCACATCGAACATACTTCTTACCCTTTTCTAAGTTGAACAGTATGGTGTGATGCAGAACAGCAACAACATCTAAAGTGCTTCTGCGTCTGAAGCAAACTGATATGGGTCAATATGCTCTTTTATCTCAGGCTGAGGTGGAAGTATTAATAATTTTTCCATTGTTTTGAGGAAGGGTGAAGTTATTGAAATAGGTCTAAATTTTACATTCTTATCACCAAATGCATTCTTGTGTACAGGAATTATCTTCATTTTTCTCCACATTTTCGGTATGAGATTAGATGAGAAGGATCTGTTAAAGATAGTTGTGAACGGATAACATAGAACGTCAGCACACTTTTTAAAAAGGATGTTTGGGATACCATCAGGTCCTAAACATCGTCAACATTCCTAGCTAAAAATGTATAGGATTATCTGTTTTATTATACTTTTCAAAAATTTTGGATATCATCTACTTGTTTTTCACTGGGTTTTATCTCTCTAACGATTTGGTGTTCATCAATTTTAATGAATGTAATCAGGCCTCTTGTAACTATCTGTCCGCTATTACCGTATACTTCTACCAATGAACCGGAATATTTTCGTCATCCAAAAAAACTCCAGTCATTGGAACTATCCACGTACGTATATATTCAGATAAATATTTAAACGAAATATTGCATGCATCTATACAGTATTCGGAGAATACTGTTGAATTCAACGTATTCTGAGATCTGCTTTATTACCTTCCGATGTTTGTTGCATCTACTTTTTTCAAATTTAACTACCATAATTTTTGCATGCATTTACTATTTTATACATCACATTTTTTCACAATAGTTGTCATTTAAGTGAGATTAATTCTTCAAATGCATGTTAACACAGTTTTGTAAGTTGGTTACTGTTCGTAACTTACTTACTTACGCCCGTTACTCCCAATGTAGCGTAGGACACCGACCAGCATTCTCCAACTCACTCTGTCCTGGGCCTTCTTTTCTAGTTCCATCCAATTCTTGTTCATTTTTTTCATGTCTATTTCCATTTCTCGGCGTAATGTGTTCTTTGGTCTTCCTCTTGTCCTTTGGCCTTGAGGATTCCATGTGAAGGCTTGTCTTGTGATCCAGTTGGGTGCTTTCCTCAATGTGTGTCCTATCCACTTCCAGCGCTTCTTCCTGATTTCCTCCTCCACTGAGATCTGGATTGTTCTCTCCTACAGTAGGTTGTTGCTGATAGTGTCTGGCCAACGGATCCGAAGTATTTTGCGTAGATAGCTATTAATAATAAACACTTGTATCTTCTGAATGATGGCTTTCGTAGTTCTCCAAATAATGAAACTACTAGACTAATGCTTGTACTAGTGAAGGCGAAATCAATGTGTACAACTTTTATCTCAAACGCCTAGATATCTCGTTACAATAGGCCATTGAAACATGAAATGATAATATGAAAAAACAAGAATATTGTCATATAATCGATAAATAAGTGGACCAAAATAATATTTATTGTATGATATAATTCAATTAGGAAAGGAAACCTATATGAATTTCGTTCAATTAAAAATGTTCATTATAACTTTTGTAAAAAACATCTTAAAAAGCTAGTACAAGATTGATAGCGGTTACTATTTGGGTGGATATTCGATAACATTTCCAGTTATTAGATTGCATAATCTCTCAATCATTAACTACTTAGACATGATGAATCAAAAGGTATAGTAGTCTTATCTTTCATTACATAACTCCTCATATCCTAAACCGATCACTTCTACCCTTTTTTCATCTACTTCCGTAGTCAACAACAGTCTACACACGGTAACGACTTAAAACCACCAGCCATATCTGACATACTATGGAGTTATTAACCTGCGTTATGCCAATATCATCTATCATTATAATGACCTAGTTAAATGAAGTTTGATTCAATCACTCACGCACATTCATTTACACTACATACTTACTATATGTCAAGTATCTATTCAAACAAAATAGTTTTATGTTCACATAAAATATTTATTGATTTATGTGCATTCATTCTACTTTTCCAGACAAACATCGAATACTGGATTGCGTTGATTATGTTCGATAATTAGTGGATGATCAACGTTTTTAGCCTAAAAGCTTGATATGTGTTGGTCTTTAGGAACTTATGCATAGTAATAAACCTACCAAGTAATCGAACTGATCTAATGAAAAATCAACCATTAAACCAAGAGACACAAAGCTTACTGAATTTCCGTGATTCATGTGAATAATAGGATGTACGAGTTTAATGAAGAAAATAACAATAAAACAACAATGTCAACAAAAGTTATTAGTTAGCAATAATGTTTATACACATGATAAAAATGTAGTCCAGTGAATTAGTTAACCGAGGATATTTCAACAGCATATAATCTTTCACTACATTAACTGCGATGTGTATATACTTCAAAGAAAAGCAATTAGTACATTTGTTTTTGTAATGTCATTATAAAACTACTAAGAATGAATGAATAACAGTAATAGTGTTACTTGTCCACCAAATATCAATTTATTTATTTGAATTTCAGACACATTATTTGTGTCAGAGCTAGTGATACTTACTACTCGACCTTTCAATTGTAATAATCGAGGTTGGGTTACGAACCTACATACTTTTAGTTGAAGCGTTAGTGCTTTAATCACCAAACCCCTACCATTTACAATCTTGTTTATCCAGCTTCAAGTCATACATTACGTGCTTATTCGTGTGCATGATACTATT